TTGTTCTTAGGAAGAACAGGAACTTTGGCAGATCTTATCATCCACTCTTGCTCTCGCGACGCGCTAAGGGAAGCCTTCGGGAATGTTATAATAACCGTTGGTTATTCCAACAATATGTTCATCAGGCGAAGATTGTACAATGTCATTATCGGAATGTGCTGTTACACTCAAGTGCAAAGCTCAAGACTATCATGTTAAACAAAACAACTTCAAGGTTGAATATACATGGCAACAACATATGATTGGTCAATCATAGAGCATTCAAGGCCTTCCCGCATGCTGATCCCAAGGTTTCATCCTCAGCTATTTTATCACCCGCATCACGAACAATGGTCAACAGACAAAGATCTAGAAGTGTATAACAACCATGTGCTCATACTACCTTCTTATCAAGCATTTCAGGCATTTTTTTCACAAGATCCTACTGGTTGACTGTCATCATAGCACAATGCCTGTTGACGCACATCCTCCTCCTGACTGCGATCCTCCCAAGGACAACGTTGTTGATCCTGCATTGAAGGCATAAAAGGGAAAGCAGTCAAATCACGCACCGTCATCGACACCAGATTCAGGAGCTGGCAGCTCAGGCCTCTCCCTGGAAGATCAACTCCAAGCATAATCATCAGGTAGGAGTAAAGGAGGAGCGATGAGAGAGGGAGGAGTGAGGGAGGAAAGAGGAGGAGAGTGAGGAGTGAGGGATGAGCGAGGGAGGGGAAGAGTGAATGCGGAGCACTTCATCCATCCCCATCCTCCAAATGCCCCTGCTCGCATAATTTCGTCTACCTGATGATACTGTTTGGAGCATAAAAGGGGACGCATTCAGATCACTCGCCCGTAGGCTGCACGTGCCCTGCCCTGTAGGCAGCGCGTACCCCGCCCATATGCAGCGAGCGCCCCTCCCGTAGGCTGCACGCGCCCCGCCCCTAGGTAGCGCGCCCCACCCCGCAGGCAGCGCGCGCCCCGCCTGTAGGCAGTGCGCGCACGGCGCTGCCGCAGCCGCGCACGCACAGCAGTCACGCAAGCACATCTGCAGCCGTGCACGCACAGCCGCACGCAGAAGCAGCAACGCACGCAACTGCTGCTGTCGCCATAGCGCGCGCTGCCACCGCCGCAACCGCACGCACCCATCGCCGCTGCAGTAGCTCGCACTGCAGTTCGCCCCGCCCTTGCACCGACCAGTCGCCAGCCACCAGTAGCGCTAGTAACGCATCACCATCAGCAGCACTACTTGTGCCCCGCCCCACCCTATCAGTGCCCACTGTCTAGCGCACGCCTCCTGCCATTGGCACCCCTAGCAGCGGCTGGCAGCCGCAGTTGCTTCTACTGGCGCAGTTGAGGGCTAGTCCCCGCCTCCCCCGACCTTCGTTCCTAGCCCGGCTTGCCTAGCCGACTGTTCCTAGTCTGGCGTTTCTGAGCCTCCAGCTCCCAGCCTGGCATTCTTAGCCATTTCTAGCTCAGGCCGTTCCTAGCCCCAGCCGTTCTTAGCTCCAGCCATTTCTGGCTCTGGCCGTTCCTAGCCCCAGCCGTTCTTAGCTCCAGTCGTTCCTAGCTCCGGATGTTCCTAGCTCCAGCACTTCCTAGCTCCAGCCGTTCCTACGCCCAGCTAGCTTTAGCCATGACATCCGCCAGAGTCTTGCGCTTTGACGCAGAGGGCCATGCAATAGACTTTAGCACGTGGCTCCGCCAGACCCAGCAGCACCTTAGGAGCCAGCGTCAGGATGGTGACACTCTGTTCGCCCACAAGTCCGGTGCGCTGGCTGCCCCTCCGTGTCCCAGTCCACTGCCTACTGCGCTCCCGCCCACTGACGAGGAGCGGGCAGAGTAGTCCAGGCACCACTTGGCCCATTCTGTCAGAGACTCCCACGATACCGCTGCATGTCTCGCGCTCACAGACCTCCTCTCGCCAACTGAGGCCGCCCACTTCACTCAGGTCGAGTCTATGACGGAATACTATGACGCTATTGCTGCTCGTTATTCTTCTCCGTCCTCTGCCTCCCTTTCGAGCTGCCAACACCAACACCCAGCTTGCTCTTGCCCCCCCGCCAATGTTTGCCACCCTCTATATTATCGTCACTCGTCTCCCTGACCGCCTCTCGTCTCCACACGACACGCTTCTTCGGAAGCACCCCAGTTAGCTTAATATCGACCTCCTTGAGACCACTCTCCCTGAGATCGAGAGTTACCTCCACTCGGTTGCCTCTACCACGGCCGCAGTAGTTCCCCGTCTCTTTGAGGGGTGTGCCGTGCCCCAGCTTCCTGTCAACGGGAGTTACGTTGTTGGCCCCGTCCTCGCGTGGGCGGAGCCGGCTTCGTTGTCGGGTGTGCGGGGTGCGCAGCCGACCTGTTGCAGTGGGCGACGCCGTCCTGGGCGTCTGGATGGCGTCCTGGGCACCTAGACGCCGGCCTGAGCGTCTGGACGACGTCCTGGGCGCCTGCACGCCGACCTGGGCGTCTGGACGGCGTCCTGGGCGCCTGCACGCCGACCTGGGCGTCAGGACGCCAGCGTGGGTGTCAGGACGCCGACCTGGGAGAACGCCAACCTGGTGGCGTCAACTTGGTTGCCCGGTCGACTCAGTTACCCGGGCGACGGGCACTGCGAGGTGCGCAAGAGTCGCCCAGGAGGATCGTGCGAAGCCGACCTCGGTGTGGTATCCCGAGGTCGACGTGGAGGATCAGGTGCAGCCGTGGGCACATGGTCACCTTTGCGTCTGCGCTGTGAACGTGACGGGGCACAGCACGCCAACCAGTTGCGAACACCTGCGAAGCAGGTGCACTGCTGTCCTGCGAGTGCAACGCTGTGCAGCCGCCTTGCTGCAGCGTTGTCACGCCATCGACTTGCAGCGTTGGCAGACCGCGACTTTGCACGGCTGGAGCGTGGTCGACCATGCAGTGCTGGAACGTAGTTGACCGTGCTGCGCTGGCAGTCGGCCTGCATGCTTGCTAGCATCTGATGTAGTCCATTGTTGCATTCTATTGTGTACCATTTGTTGTTAACTTTTGCTAGTGGAACTCTTGCCAATTTCCCCTGTGAATACACAAGTAGAGAGAGCACAAGTTAACGACTAAGGAACGAGCACTACGATCACTCCTACCCTGTAGTCTAGCTCCCGTTGTACGATTGATCTCTGCATGGTGCGGTGAGCGTTGAGGGCACTGCGATTTACCTTCAGTCTAGCCGACTTAGGTGCGCACTACCTTACTTGTTCGTAGGTCGGCAGCGTTAGTCGCCATGGTTGGCCCCGTAGGTGACGCGGGCGTCATGCATACCCTGGAGACACGCCTAGCTGATGCGAGGAAATGCCACGAGGATGGCGAGTACGGGCAGACCCTCCCCTTGGAGGTCGTCGAGCTGGGCATCCACGCAAAGTGGACGTCGGAGCACCCTTCTCGACCCGTCTCTCCTCGACCGGTGAACAACGAAGGCAGTGTCGACGTGGGCGTCAACGCCGGTGACCAAGTCGGCAGCAGTGCGGGAGGCACGTCGAGGCAGAGAGGAGTGATTCACGCCGATGAAGTTGGCGGCGTTCAGGCGCGAGGGCTGCAGTCGTCGGCGGCAGCAGTCCTCGCAAGGCGACGTCGGAGGACGTCAAAAGAGTGTGACGCCGGCGTCGGCGACCCACGTGACGGCGGGCGGGATAGCTCCATCATACGGCTACTTCAAGTTCATGCTGGACAGGATTTCCGTCACTCCTCTGCTGGTTGGTCGCCACGACCTCCTCACGTGGAAGGAGGCCATCGAGCCCCAGCTGGAGATGGCCGGGCTGATGGGCTTCGCCAACAGCTCTGTGGAGACGCCGCCTGCAACCAACGCCACGCTGCGTGCGGAGTTCCGCGCCGTGCAGCTGCTGACCTTCACGGTCATCTCGCGCTGCTCCTCGCCGGTGGTACAAATCACCTTGAAGTCGTGCAGGAGCTCCTTGAACGCCGGCCACCAGGCGTGGCAGTTCATCACGTCGACGTACCAGGTCACCGACGACCTGTACATCGGCCAGCTGGAGGAGCAGATGACGCACCTGCGGATGGGCGAGCAAGAGACGGCGACCGACTACTGCAACCGTGCTCGGCGTCTCCTGGCCTGCATGCGTATGGCCGGCGTCGGGTACTCGACGGCGTCATACATCACGCACGTCCTCAAGGGACTCCCGCGCAGCTACAACCTGATGAAGAGGCTGTCAGTGGTGTCGTGCACGCGGGAGTCGCTCAACGAGGACTCGCTGACCTCGTTCATCCTCAGGGACGAGGCGATGCAGGAGGCCGAGAAGTCCACGGAGCTCCTGCCGCAGTCGAACTACGTCGTGTTAAAGTTATATTTAATATCTATCCTGCTTGCTGTAGTTATTGTAGTGTTGTTCGTTAATTGCTTGTTTGGTGGTGCACATTTGCTAGTTTGCTATATGTACCTTGTGTGCTATAGTGAACCAAACCATTCTCGCTTCCCTTGGCCACAATTCTCTCGACATACGTTGGCCTAGGCTCCTAAGGCTAGGCCCTAAACCTTACGTTAGTATCTTGACATGGTATTGAGCTAGGTCGTTCCCGACGTAATTTCCTAAGGGCCCACCATAAGCTTTCGCGATGGCGCGTCCCGTCAAGCAGCAAATCGCGGCTCCGTCCGTCCCTCCCCGTCGCTCGCCCGTAGCAAAATCCGTCACGGTAGTCGTGACAGACGCAACGGTCGCGGTGGGAGTGACGGAGATCGTCGACCCGCTGTTTCGCGCCGCCGCTCTTCCCTTCCGTCGGCCCCTCGACCCGCCACTGCGTTCCCCGTCGCCCTTCCCCGTCACGCTGCCTCGTCATGGCTCCCTGGCGTGGAAACATCGACGGTCGCAGTGGGGGGGGGAGAGGAGAAGGGGAAAGGGGTGGCGGCCGTCACTTGAGCATTAGTGCCAGCCCGCGTTTCGTCCCGTCCCGCTCCGTCCCCGCCCGCCCTCCCGTCGACTTCGCAGCTGCTGTGAAGGGAGTGGCGGGAATGGCGGGCGTGGCGGGAATGGCGGGAGAAGCTACTGCTCCGCCACTGCACGCTCCAGATCGTACGCGACCCGCAAGCCCGCCAGCAAGCGAACACGCGGAACCGCCAGCAGCGACCCCGCCAGCAGCGCCACCGCCAGCAGCGACAACGCCAGCAGAGACCCCGCCAGCAGCGACACCGCCAGCAGAGACCCCGCCAGCAGAGACCCCGCCAGCAGAGACCGCGCCAGCAGAGACCCCGCCAGCAGAGACCCCGCCAGCAGAGACCCCGCCAGCAGAGACCCCGCCAGCAGAGACCCCGCCAGCAGAGACCCCCGCCAGCAGAGACCCCCGCCAGCAGAGACCCCGCCAGCAGAGACCCCTCCAGCAGAGACCCCGCCAGCAGAGACCCCGCCAGCAGAGACCCCGCCAGCAGAGACCCCCGCCAGCAGAGACCCCGCCAGCAGAGACCCCGCCAGCAGAGACTTCCGCCGGCAGAGACCCCGCCAGAAGAGACCCCGCCAGCAGAGACCCCGCCAGCAGAGACCCCGCCAGCAGAGACCCTCGCCAGCAGAGACCCCGCCAGCAGAGACCCTGCCAGCAGCTACACCGCCAGCAGAGACCCCGCTGCAGGGACTACCGTGGGTGGGGCAGGGGTGTGGAGGAAGGAAGGGGGGGGGGGGGGATGCGGTCCAAGGGGGCGGCTGTTATGGGGGGTGAGGTTAAGGGGGGGTGGTTGAATGGGTGTGGGGATTTGGGGGTTACTAAGAGGGGTTTCGCCGTGCTTGGCTCCCCCCCACCTTCTCTCCTCGTCACTCTCTCACCTCCCCCCTTTGTAAAAGGGGGTTAATACGAGGGTTTCGCCACGGGTGGCTCCCCCTCAACTCCTCGCCTCATCCCTCTCTCACCTCCTTCTTCGTACTTCTCCCCTCTCCTCTCCTCTCTCCCTCTCGCCTCGTCCTCATTTAACTCTCTGCCATCTTCCACTGCGCCAGGTGTACCCCTTCAGGGGGTGTTGACTGCACTAGTTATTCCTGCAAGCAGGCTAAGGGGGTGTGTTAAAGTTATATTTAATATCTATCCTGCTTGCTGTAGTTATTGTAGTGTAGTTCGTTAATTGCTTGTTTGGTGGTGCACCTTTGCTGGTTTGCTATATGTACCTTGTGTGCTATAGTGAACCCAACCATTCTCGCTTCCCTTGGCCACAATTCTCTTGACATACGTTGGCCTAGGCTCCTAAGCCTAGGCCCTAAACCTTACGTTAGTATCTTGACACGTCGCACTGGCGAAGCAAGGAGGTTGACCAGGGCAGCGTGGCAAGCATGGTGGCAGTGGTAGCGAAGGTGGAAAGCCGGCCAAGGACGCCGACAAGGGGAAGTCGGCTAAGGATGGCAATCGTGGAGGCGGAAGTCGACGTCGGGAGTGTTGGCTATGCGGCGACCCCGACCACCTCTCCTTCGAATGTCCCGATCGCACCGACTCCGACGACGAGGACACCAAGGGAGGCCACGGGAGGTCGGCTGGTCGTCGCCCACGTCGGGAGAACAAGCCGCGCAAGGAGAAGCAGTCGACCAAATCGACCTCGGCGAAGGACGCCGACTCCTCCTCAGGCGGCAAGGGGCGAGGCGACAGGGAGGCGTCGTGCTCGCTGTTCGGCGTCGTGGAGCCGACCGTCTTGCTGGCACCAGAGGCCGGTGAGGACTTCCATGCGGTGGCGGCGGCCGTGCAGGCGAACCCGGCGGTGGTCCTGCTTCACAGCGGCTGCTCGCACCACCTGATGGGGACGAAGGCAGCCTTTGTCGACTTGGAGCCGAGCGGCGACGTCAAGCACGTGCGCGGCTTCAATGGAGCGCTGCAGGACGTTCAGGGTCGAGGCACTGTCGCCTTGCAAGGAGAAGCCAGGAAGCAGGTGCTCATCCCCGACGTGCTTTACGTCCCGGGCGTGCAGGCGAACCTGCTATCAGCCGGCCAGCTGAAGGAGAGCGGCGTGAAGCAGCATGACGACGGGGACGGGATGCTCATCGTCTCGGCGGCGGGAGATGTACACTGGCCGATTTCTCTGCACCGACCTTCGTCCCTGCTCGGCGACGTCAACGACGCCAACGACGGAGGTGGTGGCCCTGCGGGCAATAGACTCGGCGACGAAGTCGACACCGGCACGGTGGCACGCCAGGCTTGCACACGTGGCGTCGACACCATCACAAGCTCGGCAAAGCACGAGGTCGCCACCGGCCTGGACATCAAGCCGTCGGCCGTCACCGACTCTCCATGTGTCTCGTGCGTTGGCGGGAATCTGGCGCGGCACACCTTCCTCGACAAGGGCTCCGACGCCGACGAGGCACTGGCCGTCGTGCACATCGACTTGTGCGGGCCGTTCCGGGTGGCGGCCAAGGATGGTAGCCTCCACTTCTTGCTGCTTAAGGACCGCAAGACCTGCTACGTGTGCGTGAGGCCGGTCGCCAAGAAGTCCGATGTGCTGCGGGAGTTCGAAAAATGGCTGGTGGTGGCTGAGCGGCAGACGAAAAAAGTCGGTGCTGATGCTGCTTTCTGACCGGGGAGGGTAGTTCCTCGGGAAGGAGTTCACCGACTTCGTGGACGGCAAGGGAATCGTCCACGACTTGACCTCCCCCTACACACCGCAACAGAACGGCATTGCGGAGCGAGAAATGCGGACGGCGGTGGAGTCGGTGCGGACGATGCTGCTGCACATGGGCGTGCAGCACCACTGGTGGCACCTCGCCCTGCGGCAGGCCGTATGGGTCCGCAACTGCTTGGAGTAGTCGACGCTGTCGCCGGGGACGACGCCGCACCAGCTGCTGACCAGCTGTTGGTGCAACCCTACGATTTGCACTCGGCTTGTTGTCCGTGTGCGTGAATGTGTGTGTGTATGGAATGGTATGAGGGCATGGGATAATATATATTTCATGCTTATAATTGTGTGTGAATGTTGAGTCATGATGTCGAGTGTGTGTGTCGAGTCAATAGCGAGTTATCGCTAGACGCGTGTTACGCGGTCGTTTGTGTCTCGCGCGCGGTTTCTATTTTGTCGTGCGCGGTTTCTATTTTGTCCTGTGTCGAACGTTCGGCGTGTCGCAGGTGTGTGCAGCAGACCCATCAAGAACTCAAGGATGAGTTTGTGATGAAGATCCCGAGCCTTGGTGTCAAGCCTCAAGTGATTTCGAAGCTCGCCAAAAGGGTACACCTCAAGATATTGAAGATAGTTACATTACTTTGTGTAGTGTAACATTTCACTTGGTGTAGGCCCTAGTGAAGGGTATTTTCGAGACCCTTCGTGGTTGGGGACAGTGTGGCACTGTTCCACATCACTGTACCTCGGCTCTTGGGGTTTGTAGGAGCTGGGAGTCATTCCCAACTCGTAACTCTTCCTATCTTGTGTTCTAAGACTACAGTGGCTGCCATAGTACCGTTCGTTCAAACCGACGCTGTGTCGTCAATTCTTTATCAAATCGTGCAATCTAAATTGATAATTGTAGACGACGTGAAGACGCTCCAGATCCAATTTGAATCAAGTCATTTGCAGCTGTGAGCAGAACGCTATCAAGGTTTGAAGCCGCTGTGCAGAAATCCGTCTGTGCTCTCTATCTTTCGTTTTAGGCACATTCAAGCCTATTGTGACTATAACAAGTGGTATCAGAGCCCCTTGGAGCAGTTTCGACAATGTCTGGACCTGAGGAAAGGGGTGGCAGAGGTGCTGGTGGCAGTGGAGAAGCTCAAGCTCAAGGCCAACCCCGTGATTCAGCCATGGCGCCCATGCAACCAAGTCTTGGCCCACCTAGGGATGAGCCTAGGGTGTTTGGGCTTGACAAGTTCAACGGTGACAACTTTGCTGAATGGTCCTTCAAGATGGAGAACATCTTTGACCACTATGACCTGCTGGAGGTGATGGAAGGAACGGAGAAGCGCCCCGAGAACGACCCGGAGAAGAGCCCGTGGGTGCGGAAGAGCGCACAAGGCTATCTCTTACTTGGGCAAGCGTTGGGGAGCAGTCAGATCCGTCACATCAAGCCATTCCAGCGTGAACCAGAGAAAGGACCAAAGGCATGGGCTGCTCTCAAGGGTGAACATGCTCCTGCAACAGCGGCGGTAGCGGTGGTGTTGGAACGGCAAATGGCGGCACTACGAATTGAAGAAAACGAAGCGGTTGAAGAAGGGGTGCAGAAATTCTTCGACTTGTTGACGCGGCTTGAGGGAGCTGATTTGAACTACAGTGAGCTCCAAAAGAAGACCAAGTTGCTGGCCTTACTCCCAGAGTCATGGTCCTTGCTCATCATCAACCTTAATCGCGACTTGCCCCGCCTCTCGCTTGAAGACGTGAAGCGAGCTATCCTTCAAGAGGATTTCCGCCGCCGTGAGTTGGCGAGTGCGGATGGCGCTGGGGCAGCGAGCATCGGCCGTGGATATGGTCGAGGAAGAGGCAGAGGACGAGGGGGAGGAAGGTTTGGTGGCAGCAACTTCGGCGGAGGCCGCAGGAGTGGCGGTTACGGCAGCGACGACAAGAGCTACGGACGCGGTCGCGGCCGATTCGACGGCGAGTGTCACTATTGCCACAAGAGCGGACACATGTGGCGCGACTGCTACAAACTCCCTGATGGTTGGACCCCTGCTCAAGGCCAAGAGGGTAGAGGAGCAGGAGGAGGGAGAGGACGAGGCCGTGGAGGCCGTGGCGGTCGCGGTGGCGGAGCTGCAAACATGAAGAGCGGAGACAACGACAAGGACCCGAGCGACGATCGATACCCGGGTCTATTCTACTTCGTGTCGACGCAAGTACCGGCTGGTCCAGAGAAGGATGAAGGCTTTGAGGAGCCAGCAGCTGTGGGGAAGGTTACCCTACACCCCCTGGACTATTGGGTGATTGATAGTGGCGCTACCTATAGCATGACACCTCGCCCGGACTTGCTCACCGAACTCGAGCCGTCACCGGTGAAGCATGTCACATCGGCTTTGGGGCAGCGAGCAGAGGTGAAAGGCATGGGCAAGGCCATGTTCAAGGGTGCTGATGGGAAGATGGTGGGCCTCAAGAACGTGCTTTGGGTGCCCAGCCTTGCTGCAAACCTGATTTCCGTGCGGCGGTTGGCAAAGGCCGGCATGGACACGAACTCGAAGGGAGCCAAGACCTACACCGCAAGGCTTGGCGATCGAATTCTTTGGGACCTTCATGAGGACAGGGATGTCTACAACGAGATGTGGCAGATCCCAGTGGTCCCTATGCCCAAGGAGAGGCAAGTGGCAGCAAGCATCAGCACCAAGGATGGAGCGGTCGGTAGCGACGATGGCGCGAACGGTCGCGCTAAGGAGAATGAGCTCAAGAAGAGCAAACCTGGAGGGACCAGCAAGTTCAGTGAACCTAAGGAGAGTGGTGCAGCAACCAAGGAGCAGCAAAAGGGTGAGGAGAACCCAGAGGCAGCAGCGGAGGAGGACTACGGAGAGAGTATGTGGGGCGCTATTGCGAGCGCGGCATTCTCCAATCCAACTTCGGCTACGGGGGAGTGTGATTGGCTCACCTTGCATCGGCGCATGGGGCATGTGGCCCTGCCCATCTTGCAGCAGCTAGTGAAGAATGAGATGGTTGCTGGCATACGTGTGAAGGGGGAGCCCGATGAGGTGCTTGGCTGCCCGACGTGCATTCAAGCCAAGTTCACCCGGTTTCCGTTCCCTAGTTCGGAGGCAACGGCAAAGGCACCGCTTGATGAGGTGGTGATGGACGTGGTGGGCCCCCTGAAGCTTGGAGCTGCTGGAGCTGAGTATTTTCTCACCATTGTCGACGTCTACACCCGCATGACTTGGGTGTACGTGCTGGCCAAGAAGAGCGACATGGCTGAAACGTTGAAGACGGATTGGTTCCCGATGGTGGAGCGGCAACAAGACCGTCTAGTCAA